TGAAGCTTTTCAGCTCATACAACATCCTTTACTAATTATTACTGAACAGTATGTGTTCAGTGCTATATTAGATTAGATCATAGTTCATGCAATGCATATTGCAGATAAAACTCAGTTGCATATTATTCCTTGTGAACAGCCCTCTGTATCTGTCAGACACCTCAGAGGAGCAAAATTAGAGGAATGTGAATATAGAGGCTAACTGTGGGTATCTGTAATAAATGTAATAATTCAGCATTCTCACAGGAAGCACTGTTTCTAAAATACCTTTGCCCTGTTACATGGCCTTTCACATGTAGTTATTAAATCACTCAACTAAAATTAAATTAATACCATTCCAGTGTGGTTCTCATATGCTTATACCATATATGAACTTTGTTTATATTCCATTTATGCTGGAATTCACTGTTGTTTGCAAGGTCTCTGAAAGAGATGGGAAAGAAAAGAAATAGGCTGAGAAATAAAACTGGAGAGGGGGATATCTGTGTCTAATCTGAGAGCAAAAACTACTTTTTACCATATATGTTGACTTGGCTTTAGATAGGCAGCTTCCCTCAGTAAGACAATGCACTCAGAGACATTGCAGAGTTCCTCCCACTGGGATTATATAATGGCATGTTTTTCCACCAGCTACAGACACAACCATTTAATTGTGCAGATAAATCTTGCACGCAGGCAGAAGTGTGATTTCACTCTTCCCCTTGGTAGAAGTGATTTGGTTTTTGATTCTGCAGTCCGTGGCCTCAGCTCCACGTCCCTGCTCCCTTTCCTGAGCTGCCAGATGGCTGCAGGGCCTGATCTCACCTCGGGCTGCTCCACATAACACACACTGCCTCACAGGGTTCCAGCCAGGCTTGAGCACCACATCTCTCTTCCATCATTCTCAAACACATTTTCATCCCTGATTAGAATGTGACTTGAACAGAACTACCTCAAAGCACTGCTCAGATCCACAGGTTGCATGTTTGTCACTGACTCCTGGGCTCAGCTGGGCTGGCACAAGCCCCACACCTCTGCCACGAACCAGGGCTGAACTAATCAGGGCTGCCCCTGACGAGGGTGAACACGTTCTTGGAGCCATTTCACACAAGGCAGGAGATTCCCCTGACACCCCAGTGTAACACACTGCTCATGATGGAAATGGAAACACCCAGGGGGCTTCCTATGGGGGCACTGAGGAGAAAAAAAGGGAAAACCAGTCATGGGGAAGATTTTGTATGGAAAGCAAGTATATGGTGGATCTGTTTTCCTGCCTGTGTCAGTATTAATGGTGACAAAGCAAGCTCTTGGTTTCTGTTGCCATGGCCAGGGACACAATCCTGTGAGGATTCTCATCCCCTCTGCCTTCACCCAGACCATACATTATGCAAAGGACATCTGGCACGGCAGCACAGAGCCCTCAGAGCTCAATGGGGGCAAACCCAGCAATGCACTGTCTCAGTAGCTTCAAGACAGATCTCGGACATCCATTTGGGGTGGGGTGGCCCCCTCCCCTTTTCCCCTCCCTTCCCTGCCCTGTCCTAGGGCCCCCTCTAGTGCTCCTGGAGGAGGCAGTGACACTGCAGGTGACACAGGGAGCACTGCAGGTGACACGGGGAGCAGGCAATGACACCCCAGGTGACACGAGGAGCAGGCAGTGACACCCCAGGTGACACAGGGAGCAGGCAGTGACACTGCAGGTGGCACAGGGAGCAGGCAGAGACACTGCAGGTGACAGAGGGAGCAGGCAGTGACACTGCAGGTGACATAGGGAGCAGGCAGTGCTGGTGTTGTGCTCTGCAGCCCTACCTGTTCCACCATGCCCTGCAAGGACATCTGACAGTCCCACAAAGGCATGGCTTGGGCCAGCACAGCCTGTGGTACAGCACCCACAATTCACAAATAACATCACAACTTAGCATTACTGAATCCCTGGTCATTAACTGGAAGGGAAAGATGGCAATTAACACCCAGCCTACAGTGAACTTCTTACCATCACCCTCACATGCAAGCACAAAGCCTCCTCACCCAGCTTTCCATGACTAGGAGAACACAACTGATGTCTGCTGTGCTTCTGTGTCATCTCATTCACCAAGCACCTGCAGGAGCAGAAATGAGCTGTGCCCAGTGTGTAAATGTACACACAGGTTACTCCACAGAGGCTCCACCCTCACTGGAATTTCCAGAAAAACACAAATCCTGTGCTTTTCACAGTGGTGTTAACAGTGCTGGGATCCCACCCTCAATGGCAGGACTTGGTCTGTTCTCACCTGGCCCCTCTGCTTCCTTCAGTCCATTTTGTCTCCTATCAGCTTCAGCTGCTGCTGTGCCTTCCTCATCTTTTCCTGGTCCCTTTCTCCCTGACCATATGGTGTTTATTTTGGCTGCAAAAGACATTAATTTCATTATTCATGAGAAATCTCACTCCAATTAAGAAGAAAAAAATCCAAACCAAGAGACAACAACTGACAAACCCTAGCATATAATAAAATTAAGGAGGTGCTTGGTATCTTCCTTGATCTGCTATTTTGGTTGTGGAAGGGAACATTATTAGCTTTTGAAAAAAATGCTACAGCATTTGTCAGACAGTGGGCAGAAGCCACTAATGACAGCTGTGCTCAACAAAATTAATTCTTAGTAAAACACTAGAGAGAGAAATTCTCAATGGTCTTAACTACACATGGATTATATAATCCCTGTGCCAGGAAGTGAAACTGCAAACAGCCAAACCCCAATAATAAATATCTTAACAATAATTTCACCTCAACAGTGAAAGACACCTGTGTGCAAGCGCCCAGTAGCAGCACAGAAAGGATATCAACTCTCCACAAATAATTCTCCACAGCCAATCCAAAATAATTCCTTTTTCCATCTCCTTTGGAACAAAAATGGTTTTGCTATTTGCCTGGAAGTCTTAAGAGTCTGGCTTTTCAGTAGCCAAAAAGGATTTGGTTTTTAATCAATTACTGTCAAGGAAAAAAAAATTAAAGAGAGAGAAAGCCTCACCCCACTTGGTCACAGACCTCACCTTAAAGTTTGCTTTATTCAGCAACATTCCTGTCCCTATGGCTTCCCAGGGAAAACCCAAAGCAGAACCACACCAGCAGCACACTGCAGCTGCTGCCATTCCTTTGGCTGGCACATCAGAAAGGCACCTGGGAACAGAGATTTCAGAAGCAATGGGCACCCTGTAAATCCTGCAGGCAGATGGATGCAGTGTTTACATCTGATCTGTGACTCGGTGAGCTGCATCTTGCCTAGACTTGAATTTCAAGCTCTTACCACCAGGATTAGATCAAAATAAAGGAATCTGCTCCAAGCCATGGCTAACTGCAGTTTTACTGCAATTCTTTTTCTTGACATGGCCAAGCTTCACAAGATGCATTCATTACTCAGTGAGTACCTCTGTTGGTGAGGATTTGTTGCTCTGAGCACCTTTAGGGATGGCTCTTCAGACAAACATCCTCATCTGAGTGCATGCAGGGAGCTTGGCACCTTCTCCCCAAACGTGGCTCCTTCCTTGAACTGAAGAACTCCACCAGCTGTACTTACAGAGGAGGTTCCACACATGGAGAAGAGGAAAGGCACAACAGCCTTGTGGAGGAAGGGCCACAGCTCAGAAACATTTACTCAAAGCAGAAGGGCAGGATTGGAGGGAGGTGGCCTCTATAGTTCAGTCTCAGTAATTTCTTGAGAAAAAGTCCTTGAGCTACTCAAGAGCATAATGGGAATAAAAATAATCATAAATTTATTTTAAAAAGTAAAAAAGGAAAACCAGGTAAGAGAAATCAGCATAGGATAAAAGCAAGTTGCACAGTTGAGTAGTTTGAAGGTTAAAACGAGCTTAGAGCAGTCCAGCAAATGCAGCTCTTGTTGCTGGCAGGAACAGTTACACTTACTGCTTCAGCTTTCCCAAACCAGAAAAATTTTAAATCCTTCTCAAAAAGCAGGACCAGAATTCAAAAGAAAGCTCAAGACCAGCATTTTAGGAAGTCTGGAGGAAAAAACCCACAAAGCCTAATGCCAAGGAATCCTTAAGAATAATAAAGGAAAACCAACAATTTTCAGTGGTCACATTCAATTAGAAAATCAAATGCTTTATACATCATACCCAAGCTAAAGTGTGGATCTAAAAATTAAAATGTAATATTTAAGTTTAGCAATACAGTTAAGAACACACATTAGCCACACAGTCTGTGCAGTCTATTCCGTTTGGGTGGAAAAGCCCCACTGAGAACTCCACCCTCCCCTTTCCATTTCTCATAGGCAGCTGATTGATTTCATTCTGTGCTTTCTTCTAAAAAACCTAAACATCATGCTCATCTGAAACTTCTCAGCCTTTTATGTGGCAGTGACTACACAGTGTACTATACATTGCATTTATAGCAACTTACAGCAAATCAGAGTAAACACTGAAAACATTTTACTGAAAACACTTGTTTGCTTTTACCATCATTTGCCTCATCTTTTCTGTATCAATTGCACTCACTTATAGTAGGTGAACAAGTTCCACAGTTTCTAACACATCCAAAATGGACATGCTCACTCCTTTGTAAACCACATTTTCTTCAAAACAAAACCCCCAGAATTTGAGAACCACCTTGCAATACAAAGTTTGCTGCAGCTATTTTTAATCCAGAGTCCATTTATCATTCCTATCAATGAGATCAATCACTAATAATGGATCAAATACAAATTTGTACAGCCAAATATTCTGTGTGATCCTGTTCCCATGTGGTGTTTTCCCCCTTATGCTGCTCATCAGCTTTCAAGGACACCAAGATGGGTGAAAAGGAATTCAGACCTCAGTGGGGAACTGAACCCATGCAGCAGCCTTGGCAACGCTGGGTTCTGCTCACACACACCAAACCCACCCCAAGAGCTCTGGCAGCCCTCTGAAAATAAAGGGGCTCCCATCATGTCCCCCCAACCCCTTTTTTGTTACCCAAAAAATAAAAGGAAAGAGGAGCAGTGCTCTTCCAGAACCACGGCACCTCGTGCCCTCTCAAACAAACAGAGACAACAGTGCATTTCAACTTTATTAGAAAAGAAACCCAAAAGTTTATACAAAGCTCTGCATTTTACAGAAAACCAACCCCCCAAACACAAAGAAACCCGACATTGCAAGCTGAATGCAGTTTCTGTTTTCATGTACAGACATATATATATGTACATACACATATATATATGTGTGTGGGAGCACGCAGTGTATATATAGTGTGTGACGTCTTTTTTTTGCATGGTTTGCATTCATTATTTTACAAAGTTAACATTCAGTAGAAAAAAAAAAAAAAGGATTTTTGTTACCATTATTTTCTCATATAAATAACTGTGAGCAGTCCCTCTGCAGATAGATAAAAAACACCTTTTCGTGTCATTCTGTAAAAAACAGACATTACTGAAATGGTACTGAAATCTTTCAAGTTTTTTTTTTTTTTTCAATACCACCATAAAAATATCATCTAGCCCCCAATTCAAAATGCTTGTCCAAGGCATTAGAAGAGAAAGGACTGTAAGACAATTCTGGAAAGATCAGTTCTTTAAGCCAACATTCAGGTAGATAAATTTTGCTGGACCTCATACATCGGTGTGAAATGAGCACAAACAGGAGACCACCCTCTCTGTCTGCCTGGAAAAGCTGGTTCTTTTGTCTGTTTGAAAGAGTCAAATTCCAGCCAAGCCCCCAGCAGTGTGAAGGAGCTGACAGGCCCTCAGCTCACCCTCCTTGCCCCATGACAAAGCCACAGATTTTCTTGATGCAATTAAAATCTCTACCAGCTCAGCAAATTTTTCCTACTCCATTCACCTTAGAAGGAGCTGTTGGATCAATCATGGCATGGTTAGACAGACATCAGGTTGCTGAATTACTGGGAGAAAAACTTAGCTAGAGGGGGAAAATACAAGACAACTAAAAGGAGGAAAACACTAAAGGAAAGAGCTACTGGAGCAACTCCCAAGGCTCTGGTTTGGAGAAGCAGGAACAGTAGAGAGAGAAGAACTGCAGCTCAAAACATCCTTGTGTGCACTGAAGTTCCTGGTGACAGTGTGATCCAGGTTTACCAACTGCCTGGTAAACAATCAATCATTCTTTCTGTCAAGCACCATGATGGGGAGAATGGCCAAGAGTCTGAAGGCAATACAAGTGGCTGTGGTGATAACACAGGGAATGAAAGTGAAGAACACAATGATGCCAATTAAATGGAGAGTAATGCCAATGAAGATGTTTCAACTTCCAGAGATGCTGGCAACGAGAAGAATGGTTATGTGGTTGGTGTTGATGATGGCCAGAATTCATTCATATGTCCATGTAGTCATCATCTTCATCAGTATCACTTTCCAGTGAGGACTCCTGGCTTGAGGTCTCTAAGATTTCCAAAGCTGGCTGACAAAGGCTCTCCTTCTTTACATTCGCTGCAGACTGAGCAGACAAAATAGCAGACTGATCCCAAAAAGAGAGAGAGAGAATATATTGCTAAATAGTCAGGATAAACCCATGAGCACAGGGACAAAAGCCCACTGGTTGCTATTCCTTCACATTCAATAACTGCCTTGTGCTGATAAAAGGTGCCATCCTAATGTAAAACCACATAACATTTACAGTAGGCTTCCCCACAGTTAAAGTTCTGGCAGCTTCCACTCATCTAAGAACTGCAATGGGTCACTCAGCCATTTCTGTAATTTTTTCCAAATCCCTCAGAAAAGGGACAGGGACTAGAATAGCTCTCATTTCACCCACAGCCAGTATTTCACCAGTCCTTTAAGAACTGGCTCCTGCTGCTAAGAGCTAGCACCTCCTTCCACTACTTATCTACCTCTGGTTATGGACTGGGGACATGAACTGTTGCTTCTTTCATACAAGTATTTTATTGAGGGGAGAATTAAGATAAAAACAATAATCTAAAAAATTACTGTTTCCCTTTTATTACCTTTAATTTTTGCTTGGTCTCTTCTGAAATGCTGCCCTTTGGAGAAAGGAGGGTGGGAGTGGGTGGAGTGACAGTGATCTCAGGTGGAAATTTGGTGACAGATGAAGGTATGAAAAGCTTTGGCATGTTGGGCAGAATGCGAGTTTTTACTCGGGTGCCATCTGTCTTGTTCTGCTGACTTCCCAAAGTCTGTGAACTGGAGCTGAGTTCAGGCTTGGAACTGGAGGCTAAACACAAAACAGCAAGGAAAAAATATGTTAGGAAGTTATCTAGGATTTCAGATGTCAAAGAAGAGGGTGGAGTTCATTGTTAGATGTAAGGCTGGCTCAAAAGGCCTTTCTTCAAGCCTTGCGAAAACCAAAGCTTAGAACCAGAAAAAAGATTGTATAATGACAACTGGAAACCAACAGTGATTAAAAAATATCTTACTGGATGTCAGAAACTCAATCTGCCCAAGCACAACAATGGTAGTGCAGCACTGGCCATCTACATCTACTGCAATCATCTCCTGCCTCTCCATCCTGCATTGCAACAACAAAGCTCTCCAGCTTTACTTGGTCCTCATTTCCTCCACCACAGCATTGCCTCTTCAATTACTGAGAGCAACTGCTCAGCAATTAGAGAAAAATCTCTGGTGACACTTGTCAGAATTCCCCCATTACAAACCCTGCCATGCTCCTGCCTCCTTGGTGTGCTCATGGCATGGCTCCCACCCTGGTGAGCATCGTTCCCACACCCCTGCCAGGGCCTCAGCTTGGGGCCTCTACAGTGAAACCTTTCTGAGTGTTTATTGAGTGCATCTCACAAGGAGCCAGCCCCTCCCCAGGCACTATCACATTACAAAATTATCTATACACAACAATAACCAGGAGATGACAACGCTGCAATGTTAAAAAGTGAGTATTTGTTAAAAGAGATTTCTTACTAATAATGCTGCTTCACATGGAGTCCAAATTACTTTTTAGAAATTATATAAATGGAAACACCAGAGCCCTTCTCAGTCTGGTAATAATGACAGGTGTTCATATACATTTTTTTAGATCCAGTATTGTCAAATCCATCTCTGGCAGATACTGGGAATGGACATGGCCACTTACACACAGCAAAATAAAATAGCAGTTTCCTAATGCTAGCCTAGAAACAGGCAGCAGCAGAGCAAACTACTAAGGGATGTAAAATTGAATTGCATGTTCTCAACAGCACACAGGAATGCAAGAGCTGCCACAGCAGATGAGGCATGGCTTTCCATCAAGGTCAGTGACCCATCTCCATGGGCAGCCAATCCATCCAGACAGTCATCAGACACAGGACACTCTGCTCTCATAAATAAGGAAAAACAAGATACCCCAAACAAGAAAATCTAGATTAGGCTTGCCTGAAACACCAGGTTTTACATTTTTTTCAATTAAAACACCAACTTCTTCTCTTGGGAAGAGGGCAGAGGAGGAATAGAACACACTAACTGCTGTAATGCTGGTTTTTATGTTTACTTAGACTGAGTCAGTTTTGTGAAAAACCATTTCCTTCTGCTGAATATCCCAACAGTGCAATCCAAACTGTTATCATACTGCCCCATGTAAGACTGCAATTAAAAGAAAAATTCTGCTTTAAAGGATGCACAAACTACATTGCATGAAAGCTGGTACTGGAGGGTTTTCATCTGGCTTTGCTGCCATGGTATTTAGCATGCCAGCCATGCAGGAACCAGAATGCCCAGCAAGGGATGGGAGGGCTCCTGCCCAGGGAGCTCGGGCACTGCCAGGAATGCATCAAACCCTGCAGCACCTGAGTGCAGGCAGGCAGGGAAACTGAGGCACGCCAACCCAGCCATCAGTGCCTACAGAGGATGCACAGCTCACCACCCCATTTCAGAACAGCCTGAGGCACAGGAAGCTCCTACCTGGGGTACAAACATGTCCTGAATTTGTGCTGGGCACGGGCTCCACGTGCCAGCACACAGGCTCTGGCGGGGGCGCGACCGTTGCCATTTTCATCTGCTGACAAAGCCGGGACTCCTGCTGCTGGAATCCAAGCCCCTCCAAAGGCACTTCAAGCTCTTCTTCCTCTTTAGTAATGAAATATAATTCACAGATTAAGAGACATCCTGATCTCCCTCCTAAGCCTCAATCCTTTTGCTGTCTATCCAACAGGCAGAAAAATCCTTTTAACCCTTGCTCTGTTTCTAAACCATAACATGACTGAGTGAAATTAAATATTGGCAAGTTAAGATGGCAAAAGCAACTTTTTCATATAAGTGCCATCAATTCAAACTCTTAAAAAAAGGTAAATGTCATTTAAAAAGCAAAGGAAAAAAAAAGTTGAGATTGATATTTTGTCATCTCTGCACATCTGCAGAAACACAGAGAGCTGAGCATGAGCTGAGCTTCCTCTGGAGCTGTGAGGGCTGGGAGGAAGAGCTGCCACGTGCAGAGCAAAACCCAACACCATCAATGGGGCCCTCTCTGATGTCCAGCCACAGGTACCTGCCACACTGAGCACAGCCCAGGGCCAAGGAACACTCATGACTGTGAACATCCACCACCAGGGCCAAATCCATGTCTCAGGAAACCAATAGCAAGTGATCCTGAATGCCCACTCTTCACTGATACATCCACTGTGCCTCTAGAAATAGACCAGCCTAAAATCCCCACCTTCTGCTATTCCAGAGCCTGGGATGTTTGTAACTCAGAATCCATGTGTGTGTGCAGCTTTGTTGTTATTTACCAGCTGTAGCTGCTTTAAAGGAGTGCAGTGCAGAACCAGCACTGACACACTGGGCTGTGTGTTGTACACAGCAGGAGTCATTGCCACCGACCCACTGAGCCCCGCCAGTGCCCCTGTGGGGCAGGGCAGTGACCATCTCAAGGCTATGGACACAAAACAAGCTCTGATTCTCTCTTAAAAATGAAGACATTCTTCAAAAACCAAAGGGCTGCCTGGTCTAATTTGAATCACCTCCTATTGCCACAGGCTAAGGCTGCACAGGCAGCTTGCATGGACCAGCACATGCAGGGGATAGTCACAGTCTCACTTGCTCTAAAATTCTTTGTATGGCAATGCTCTAAATTAATTTGGGATTTTGACCATGCAAGGGCTTAAAAAGGAACACATATTTTAACTTTTCTTCATTGGAAAACTGCTCCCACCCCCTCAAGTGTTGAAAACACTTCTCCATCTCCACCAATATAGAGAAGATCTCGGAATTTACCATGGTAATATTCTCCTGTACAAGAGTTCCCCTTGCAGAAACTGCTTCAGAAAACATCACAGCTTAACAGCCTGATCTACTCAGTTTGAAAGATGCAACTTTTTAAAAGATTATAATTTCTATGGTTCTTGAATAACTTGTATGAAAAAAGCTCAGGAAAGCAGGCTGTTCTTTCATCCACTAATTTTCATAGGTAAAGAAAAAGCCCCATCATCTAGACTTGCAGCTGAAAGCTCACATAACCCTTAAGATAAATGAGATTGCTTGTGGAGAAGTGTCCAATAGCTCCCAAAAAGGAAAGGTCACCCACTACAGCTCAGTTCACAGGCAGCTCCTGTTCTGAGATGTTCCACTCACTACCCAGCACAAAATGGAACAGCCTAATGCAGATGAATGTGCTTCTCATTCTCAGCACTCTCCTGCACATTTCTCTGGGTACTTCAAAATACAGCACTGGAAGTAGGAAAATAAGACTTGCATCTGTACATGTATTAATAGACCAAATCAGCTGAGAACAACATAGAAGGAAGGGCTTAGCTGTAGGGAGCTCGAGTAGGAAAATCCCAAAGCATTGTTTCCCTTGTGAAGAAGCAGAGGACAGCTGAAGGATCCCTGGGTCTGCCTGCCCTTTCCAGCAGCACACAGGGATTTAACCCCAGGCTGCCAAAGGAGCAGCCCCAGGCCAGCACATCCACACCCCATCTCTGGATCCCATCCCATCCCATGGATCCCATCCCATGGATCCCATCCCATGGATCCCATCCCACCCCATGGATCCCATCCCATCCCATGGATCCCATGCCATGGATCCCATCCCACCCCATGGATCCCATCCCACCCTATGGATCCCATGCCATGCCATGGATCCCATCCCATGGATCCCATCCCCTCCCATGGATCCCATC